AAAATAAAATCAGAATCCACAAGAGTAGACAATTAGGAGGTCACCAGTAACCTACACATAGAGATAGTCACATGTTTGGGTTTGAAATTCAGTTTCAGATGACTGAGTTCTGATAGAGGAAATTATTTCAAAATTTCTTCTTCTTTTAACTCCCACTGGGCAGCCCACAAAGTCAAGAGCCATCAAAGGGAACAAGAATGCCAATAAAAGAATCAGAAACAAAGTCACATCCAGGTGAGAGTTGAAATTTCCTGCAGAGAACACACTCACACCCACATTTACAAGATAATATTTGAAAAGCTATAAACCAAAATGGTTTCTGGAAACTAGGGACTAGGATTCAGACTGGTGGTCTGAAGCCATTCTAGCCTGAACCCTCATTGTAACTGTCTAGTTTTAACTAATACTTTAACTGTAACATTTTTAAAATTACCTCTTCAGGTTCCTTCTAGCTAAATGATCTGGGATTATTTTCATATAAAATTTATTTTATTTTATAGCAAACTAAGGTATCTGAGTATCAACAGATGGCTAAGTCTAGATTCATCTGAACAATGTGTCATTTTCTCAGACCATTTTTCATCTCCCTAAATCAGTGTAGTATCAAAAACACAATAAGGAGACACAGGGAACATGAATTTCCAGGTAGTTATCATTAGTTGCCCCCTTAGACATTTGACACAAAATATTTCTTTAAATTTTTTTTAGTTGTTGATGGACCTTTATTTTTATTTACTTCTTTATATGTGGTGCTGGGAATTGAACGCAGTGCCTCACACGTACAAGGCAAGCACTCTACCACTGAACTACAACTCAGCCCCGTAAACAAAATACTTCTAAGAATTCTTTATTCTTAAAAATCCTAACTATATATACAAATTTATAGTTTGCTATAAAAACATTAATAATCAAAAGTTAATTAATTCCACTCACTCATTATTTTCTATAATATATCTGAATATAACTAAGTCATTCAATATTTTTTGCTGAGAAACTTTCAATATGGGTCTTGAAATTACTTTTATATCAATATCATAATTTGCCCTTGCTAAGCATCTGTAAAAGGATCATTTATTTCCATTTTACAGAGAGAAATGAAGAGGTATATCTGAGGGCAAATATTAGTAACATATTAAAAAAAACTCATATAAAGCCTTCTCCAAAAAAGACCACTTTTTAACAAGAGCCCTTCATCAGAGAATAAGAGAGTAACCCACTGTGTCTCCTTTATGGGTGACAGACTGCATGGACCTGGATGAGAAACATGTAGAAATACTAAAAATAAATTCAACTTCATTTGAAATTATATTTTTATTAAAATGCCAAAAAACACTTTTTTAAAAAATCTGTATTATGGACTTTGCATATTTTATGCAAGAAAGACCATCTAGAATAAAGATAAAATTAAAATATTTCTGAAGCAAAAATTAGCAAAAGCATTTCAAATACTGTTATCTGCATTTGAGAAAAATTTCTCCATCATTAGAAATTTCAAAATGAAGAGCAATGAAAAGATGTCAACCTTTCATGGTTTTCTTGATTAAGCAAAATGAAGAGCATGACAGCAATCATACGAAATCTATTCTTAAGGAATTCACTGCAACATCTAAACTTGAAATAGTTATAGAGAAGTTGAGACATCTCTAGATGACCAATTTGATCCTGTTCTGTTTGTACCCCGTTTGCAACCATCTCCTCTTACCACTTGGAGAGTTCATTAAAGCAAACAGTAAACCCTTTACTACAGGTAACAGACATCAAATGACCCCACAAACCCAATTTGGATTCTTCAAAACTGAAGTCTAAATGTTCAACAAAATAATGTTTTGGAACACTGGCATGGCTCAAAACTTTAGAAGGGCTTTAAAGGGTTCAAACACAAAATTTTAAGAAGAGTCTTTGTACTTCCTATGGGCAATAAAACTATCATTATGTTTGACTGAAGTACCTGGTCAAAACTTTCCTTTTTACCTGGTCAAAACATTCCTTGCCACTTAATTCTTTGTAGCATGTGACATCCTTATTAAATTTATTGGTGACTTTATCTAAACAGTACAAAATTTTCTTCATTCAAATATTAACACGCTTTAAATGTTAAAAGGAATTCTTTAATAAATGTATTATTTCACATTATGAACTTAAAGCTTTAATTTATAATGCCTATAATAAAACAATAATAGAATTCAGCAATTTTTTCAAAAGAGAAAAACACCCACAGAACAAATTAATTTGGCAAAAATATCGCCAAATTAATCTTACTAGGTTTGATGTATTTTCAATTTCCAATTAAAATTACAGTCTTCACTAGAAAATTATTGGAATAAGAGGGAAAATGCACGATTCAGTTAAATTATGATTCTCCTTGTTACTGTCTCTCTTATGTCACCTAAGTGATGAGACACTGCTGGCTGATCCTGCACGAGCAAATGAGACCACGTAAGGTCAGATTTCCTTGTGAGAGGCGAGGAGAAAAGAGTGGAAAATTTCACAGCTTGGAATTTGATTGTTAAGTATGTTCTCTATTCTAGTCTTATAAGCTTTTCAGCTAGTAAATTGAAATCCTGCTATACACTAGGATAATATTCATGACAATTCTCTATATTTTACCTTCTTAAAATCAAAGACTCAATTCTAAAGAGTTAATAGAGGAATTACAAAGTAACTCTCTAGTTTGCATTTCCCATAATACTAAAATAAAGCTTTATCTTTTAGTCTAGAAATTTGCTTTAACACTGTGAAAAGCCTCTGTGCATCTGTTTAGCGTATCTACTCCTTTTCATCTGTGCAGTGCCACTGGGCATAGCCTGCACTGCCGAGCGGGCTGACACCTTGCAAAGGGCCACATGACTCACTGTACCCTAATGCACTCCATTAATCCTGTTTGGACAGCTGGGCCCCGGCATTTGTTAGCTGCATCTTAATTGTTCCATCTTTCTTTTCTCCTTTTTATTTATCTCTATGGAAAACTACTCAGGAATTTAATTTGTCAGGCCTCAAAAAGTGAATTTTGCCCTGCTTTTTTTTCTTTGTATTAAAACTATATTCAGTCTGTAATTTTCTTCATAAAATCAGTATCTATTAATAATCAGCAACTAATCTTAAGTAACAGAGCACAGTACATACGCTTTCTAAATGTTTAAATGGCAGGGTGGCTGTCATATCACCAAAATTATTTGATGGGCTAAGTAAATGGGTTTCCAGTGGTCCCTTTACATGTCCACTTTACACTTTCTATTAAAAAAAATGAAGTCTTCATAAAAATTATGAAGATAACTACAAAGCCCCCACTTTCATGCACAGCCTGCACTGCTGATGGCCGTTAGCCTTGAATCAATAATGGAGGCAACATGACAGCTAAAGCAGAAGTAACCCAGAGGCATACAGTTGTTGCAGAGCGTGTTGCTGAAGTTACTGATGTTTCTATAATCATTAGTTTCCTAAGTTAAAACCTGAATCTAGAAAATTATACAAAACGGTCCAATAGAAAGTTTTGTTTGAAATAATACCTAGGTAAGAACTGAACCTCTATAATTAATATTTTATATAGAAGGTCAAATGACCTTTCAGTGACAAAGTAGAAATCTGTTTTACTTTTAAAAGATGATCAGAAACCTCTGTATAATGACAAACTAAGGAAATGATCTGATTGACAGACAAAGAGAGACTGAGGACCAAGGACGTCCTTGGAACAAGCATATGCTCCCAGAAACTGTATCATGCATATTTTTCAACTCTACTTTCATGAATACAAAGCAGCTTAAAATGAGTTTACAATTTTCCAGTTTTTTAAACTACATACTAAATTTTACATTCAAAAAAAGACATTAGTTTAATATTTTCTAGATGTAAATGTTTTTTTAAAGACAGTTTCCTCACTGGAAGATGCAAAAGCTGTGAATGTGGTGGGGGCTGGGAAGGGGGGGGAGTCTATTGTTTGGAGAAGAAACACTTTAAATTTTTTTTTTTTTAATGGTTTTTATTTGATGAAAGTATTTGTCTTGGTATGGCCAAGTACAGAACTAAAGGTATAACAATGTAGGAAGAAACATTATATTTTAAAGGTGATCTTTTTGAAAGAGTTGAAAAAATAAAAGTTAAAAAGGTTTAGTAACAGTATCTTTAAGAAAAAAGGTTTTAAATGAACATTTCTCATTTAAACTCACCCAGAGTTCTTGACATCACAGGTAGAGCAGAGCTCAAGACTAAGATTGATACACAATTACCAATGATCTGTGAGGAGAAATCAGAAAGAATACTGGGCAACTGGACAGCAGGATGACAGTAAACCACCAACCCTGTGGATCACTGCCGCACTCAGCCAGCTTCTGAGTGATGCTAACTGCTCACTACAGAATTGCGAGAATAAAACTTCTTCTACTTAGAGTTATAACTGTGAATTCTATAAAATATTCACAGTACCTGGCACACACACACACAGTCATGGAACACTTATGTCACTTTTCACTTAGACAATATACTTCACATTATTGGTATGATTGCCAATTTCAAAAAGCTTTGCTTGTCAAATAAAAAAGAATATATTTGATTCTTCTTACTATATTTTTAAAACCAGACTACTGTTCAAGTTCTCTTATATAAGATCTACTTCTCTTTAAGATCTAATTTTAAAAGTGTCTGCTATTAAACATCTGAACTTAGTCACTCGTTTTCAAGGTGTCCTAGGTTATTTGTTCACATTTAATAAGAGGAGCGAAATGTTTATTAATACTTACGATCATTTAAACTAGATACTAGATTTTAAAAAAACCTCAACTACTGACTTTAAAGAAGCTGTAACACTATATATGTGTGTAAATGTGTGTGTGTGTGTAATATATCTTCTCCTTTTTAAATAAGTTAAAAATAAGAAACATACGATGGAAGAAAAAAGTAAGCCAGCAACTCTTATTAGTCATTCTTTGTCAGCCTGTGGGAACATTTTCCAGAGATTCAATCACTATATAAGATAACAGCCTTTATTATGAAGGCAATGACATATTGTACAAAGTCAAATTAACCTCAGACTACAAAATGTTTCTGAATAAAACTCTTCTGATTTACTTTAATTATTCAAATTTGAGATACTTTGTCTCTACTACTTGTAGCAACTAAGTTCTTCAGATTTCAGACAAGCTCCCAGAAGTAGAGTTAGTACAATCAAAGTTACTCATTAGCAATACGTTTTCTTTATAGGCAAAAGAGTCCTTTCAGGACCCTTCTATAGCAGTGAACAAGCTCTGCAGTTCTGTGCATTTACAAGTGAATGGACCCCATCCAAATCAAACAGAGCTCATCCTTTTCCCACTCACTCAGCATTCTGAAAATCTTCCCGCTTGTGTTTACGTAGCTTGCAAACCAACACCTATCACAGCAGATGAACCATTCGGAGCAATTACTAAATAAAACAATCCATTTGTCTTGTAAGGCAAAAGAGGGCCACAGTTGCCTCAGACTTTACCTTACCTTTGTCATAGTTGTGTCATCCTTCCTGGGTGTAAAGTTTCCAAAAAATCGGAGACTATAGAAACCAACAACAGAAGACACCATAAGATAGCTGTGAGAATCAAGGAAAACTCTTCAGAAGAATGTGAGTTTCCATGAGTTCTCAGCAACCTTCCAAAGGTCTTAAGGCCCACAGCAAAAACAAAACAAAACAAAACACCACTTTGAGTGCTTGGGGAAGACTGACCTGTTTTCTCTTCCAGACAAGTGTCTTAGTAAATTACCACTGTCCCAGAAACTAGACAGAAAACTTGTTAACAGACAGAAAATTCAGTTAAAGAAAGGATACAAAATCAAAATGATTTCAAGTGCAGCTCCCACAAAACCAAATGTAGAGAGAGAGGCATTTCCTATTCCAGGCCCCTGGAGGAGAAAAAAAAAAATTTCAGAATCCTCTGACACCACTATATTTAGTTTTCCTAAAATCGTTGTTTCACAAACATTAGATAGTTGAAACTAAGACTGTTTAATACCTTGAAATAACATGTAGGCTTTCAAAGGCCAATGAAACATGACATCAGACTGAATTCATCAACAAATTCAGCTACCATGTTAACAACTTTAACAACCTCAAAACAAAAAAATCTGATTTACCTCAAATGTAATTTAATGTACTTGCCAAAATGATATTATACTTACTGTTAAAAAGTGTAGCAATTTGCTCCTTGAGAAAATAGATCTTAAATATTCTTGGGATAAATGTTTTACAAATAGAATGTTACAATAGGGATAGAAAATATACTCATCTGAAGGCTGAGGCAACATACAGAATTACACAAATTAATTATGTCAGAGTTAAGCTAAGCTTAGAAAGAAAGTGGATGCCTATCCTATTTCCCTCCCCCAAATCTTCCTTAGAAACTCAGAGTTACAAAAAATATAACTTAACACAGATTGTTAAAAAGTAATGCATCATTTTTCCCCTAAAAGTCACATCTATTTCAAAACTTAGAACTTAAAAAAAAAAAAAATCAAACCAGACAAAATATATTAATTTAATGAGCCCTGACAGGCAAAATATAATTCCCTAGTAAAGTGTAAACAATATTTTCAAATCTTACAACTAAATATTAAAGGAATGATCTGCATATGAATTACTGTTCTACTAGTCAGCTTATATAACACCACCAGAGATAAGGATGTGTAGTCAGACTAATAAAAAATAAATCAATAAATATTATCATACACATTATATATCCACTCAATTTTGCCAACAAATGTAAGAGTAGCTATGAAAATCTCAGATATAAACAAAGGGAAAGGAATTTATCAATTTCTTGCCAATATTTTGAAGACAAAAAGAATGATGTCAATAGAAAATGATTGGATTTAGTACATGCTACCCCAAAACCTGACACCTCGGTATTTGAGAAGACCTACAAAGATCATTCTCTGACCTCCCAAAGTTCTCTGAAGCAGACCATGGGACCCTTATTGTGGGGAGGGACAAAGGGAGGACCCTAGGTTTTCTCTAAACCCAGATACCAGGAGAATTCCCCTCTCTGAAGACAAAGGACACACCAAGTAAACCATACCCTCTTAGGGCCACCACTCCACTGACCAATCTGCTTCAAACCTCAGAATAAAGACACAGGGTTCCCTGTTTCTCTGAGTCTTCACTTCTGAAGGCTCCTGTGTCACGTAAAACTTATGTTAAATAAATATGTTCACTTTTCTCTCATTGGTCTCTTTTGATATAGAGACCTCTCATGAACCGTATGCTGGGTGAGGAAAAGACACTTTACTCCCCTGCAAATCCATGTTGACTAAAATGGAAAATATTTTTGGAATACTCTATTTTAAGAGAAAGCTATAGCAGGATTAAGATGAACTAATTTATCTGTACAATCATACAAGAAGCCCTTAAAGGTACATGTCACTCTCTAATATCCACTCAGGGGGTAGTATAAAAATGTGCCACAGAGCTTGGGACTTACTTTGTCTTGATGGCATATTAAAATGGATTAAAGAGTCAACAGGCAGTCAATACAGGAATGACTTCCTGGTCAACCCATGGTTTGAGAGATACAAAGACAAGGCTAAAATGGAGAAGGAGTACCATCTTGTTTATTGTGCAGAATGAGGCACCTGGGAAGTCGGTAGGTTTGCACAACTAAGTATGGCGATGGCAGTGGCAGATGGCACAAGGTCCCAAGCAGGCTGGTGGTTGAGTGAATCAAGAAAATGGCTAAAGAAATCGGTCTTTGAAAGAACAGGGGATCTTTTTCTGAAACTGAAGGGAAGGAATTAAGACAGACACTGGCTTGTTCCTATGAGAGACAAGGATATGTCATCTGGGTCAGAGAGGGATCAGTGATATCATGAATCTGGCTATGGGGAATGCAAAAGCTGATGACTTGGGAAAAATAAAATAAAATTTCAAAATTTAAATGCCACTTTAAGGATTCAAACTTTTGTAGTAATATATAAAAAAAGAATAGCAAATATGAATACGTCAGGATAACTATAGTACATATGAATAATATATTCAAATAGGTTCATCAATACAATTAAATAACATCATCGATTTTTAAATCAGGAAAAAAGTTAATTCATGAAAAGAAATACTTTTATCCAGTAACTGTATATTTTGTTATAGTTTCAAAAATGTAATGATACAGTTAAAGTATAAGTCCCTATAGCTGTATATTTAGATCTTTGAAAAATCCAGTGAGTGGACAGGGGATGCAGCTCAGTGGCAGAGTGCTTGCCTAGCATGCCTGAGGCCCTGGGTTAAAAAAAAAAAAAATCCAATGAGTCTAACAGGTATACTCTTTATACATCACTATTTTAGAGCATGCATTTTCTTAAAGAATCGTCAATAGGAATTTCAGTAAAACCAAGTTTAACTCTGATACCGGAGTTTAAAGAGAACTCTGCAACCTGAAAAAAAGGACAACTCGAAGTAAAAAAAAAAAAAAAAAAAATTAGAGAAATCAATATTTATAAAAACACTGTTTGAAAACTCTTTCCATAAAGAAAGTCATACAACTTGACCTCACAGAAAGGCAAATGTTTTCATTCACTTACTGAAAACACTCAGGTCTATACACAGAACACATTTGCAAAAGAGAGGAAAGCACTTTACTGTACCCTTGCTCCCTTCGGCATTGCTGTTTCATCAACCAGCAGGCAGAGAATATTACAGGCCACCAGTAGGACCGAGATAGCCTGCAACACAAAGATTGGGCTGGGTCAGCTCTTGGTTCCAACATGCAGATGATAAGTCTACAGGACCAAATGCATGCTCCAGAACAGAGGGAAAGCAGCCAAGACCAAATTCCACAAACAAAGCAGATGACGTATAAATGCTCCAGGGTAAATTCTTTAAAATTCTGCAAATTATTATGATTTCAAAGCTTATGACAAAAGATAATGAGATAGACCATTCACTAAGTAGTCTCACCAATTGGAAACCCACAACTCTACAGATCTCAGACATGTAAAGTATCAACAGAATTAATTTCACAATGTAATTTTCATATCCTTTCAGCAAGTTTAAACTAGGGTTTCTACAACATCTTGTTTTCTCAAATGAGACAAAAGTCTGAATTTCCTCAGGAAACAGACAATTGAGGACTTTTTCTAATTGGCATTAGCTTCCATCTTTGCTCTAACAAAGGTATAAACACATTTTAATCTTGTTCAATAGAAAATCTTGTTCACTAGAAACCATTAGGCTGAAAGCTACAATACTCAAAGGCTAAAGTAAATAAAATATAATATGCTTTATGAAGAATGCAAATAAGTTCTTACTGTCTCAATAAGAAGTAAAATCATAACAGCGGGATACACCAGATTTCTTTCCCATGCTGAAGCCTTTTTTCGCCTCTCTATTAAAAGGAAAAAACAAGACAAAAATTTCAGAAATTTCTAAAAATTATCTCCAGATTTATATTTTCATCCCATCATGATATTAGCAGTATACATTATTTTTTCCCATTTTGAAAAGCATAAATTACTTTCAATTTTCCTTCATAAATTACAAAAATCAGAGTTTTAACATCAGTTTGTGCCAGGCGCAGTGGCGTACACATATAATCCCAAAGGCTAGGGAAGCTGAGGCAGGAGGATCCCAAATTCAAAGCCAGCCTCAGCAAAAGTGAGGCGCTAAGCAACTCAGTGAGACCCTGTCTCTAAATAAAATAAAAACAGAGCTGGATATGTAGTCCAGTGGTTAAGTGCCCCTTAGGTCAATCCCTGGTACAAAAAAAAAAAAAAAAAAAAAAAAAACAGAAAACTAATTTAAACAGCTCAATTCTGGGAGGCCTAAATTTTATCC